TGTCAGGGCTGGGAGGGGCCTGAGAACATGGAATGTCAGGCTATCAGAACACGGAATGTTAGGGCTAGGAGGGGCCTGAGGACAGGGGATGTCAGGGCTGGGGGGTGCCTCAGGACAGGTCATAGAGTGAATTAGTGGCAAAGCTGAGACTAGCACCCAGTTTGTCCCTCTCCTAGTTTAGGGTACTAGACCCCATGTTTCCTATTAATTCCATTCTGCACTTGTTCATTTGACCCACATTCGCCATTCCCCTTCTAGTGCTAAAGAGGTAGATAAGACTTCCCGCCACCAGTTTTCTGTAGTTGGAGAAAGAGCAGGCTTCTCCAGAGACCCCGCACTGAGGTTTTGGAGAGACAGATACCCCCCAGACTCCGGCCTCAGTCCCTGACAGCCTCTGCCTAGAGAGGGGCAACCAAAGGCAAAGATGTGGCTTTTATTTTTTCAACGCAAAACCAAGTTCTCTCAAGACATCCAGAAAATCAGTGGCTATGTCTTCATCCTTATTTGCTGGTTGTATTAAACTGTGTGAAATATTGTGTGGTTGGGTAATTAACGTAGACTTGCTCCTTGAGATAATCTTGCCTAGAACAAAACAGACCAGACACATGGACCGATGTTGGGGCTTGGGGTTCTCTGGGAAGGGCAAAGGGGGAATGAACAGACGAACCGCCTCCCTCCCCCCGGGTGTCACAGAGACTCATCTCAAGGGCAGGGAGGTATGTCAACCTCTTAATTAGGTCCGACCTCCCTCACAGGCTGATTCCCTACAGCAGAACGGGTAGGTTTGCCTTCCAAAATGGTGGACTTGGGATGCTGAGGAACTAAGCATTAACACTGGATTGAGAATGACTGCACCCATTCACTCTGATGTCTCTTAGTTTGTCTTTAAATTATGCTTTTAGATTCCTGTCATGTGTACAGAGGCCACCTTATCATTGAGATAAAAAAAAAAGCAGAATATTTGAATGTCAGAGCTGGGAGAGCCCTTGGAGCCTAGAACAGAGAATATCTGAGGGACTTTAGGGTCTAGAACAGAGAGTATCTGAGAGACCTCGCAGCCTAGAACAGAGAATGCCAGAACTGGGAGAGCCCTTGGAACCTAGAACAGGGAATATCTGAGGGACTTTAGGGTCTAGAACAGAGAGTATCTGAGAGACCTCGCAGCCTAGAACAGAGAATGCCAGAACTGGGAGAGACCTTGGAACCTAGAACAGAGAATATCCGAGGACCGTCAGGGTCTAGAACAGAGAGTATCTGAGAGACCTTGCAGCCTAGAAC